AGATTATGAGGGAGTTTCACCTAATAGTTACAATCTTATAATCACAAGTAGTGAAGGTCGCTTGAAAACGATCGCGTTGAATGAATTCTTGGCACTAGTTTCATGCTTATCATAGTAACGAATGCCTCGTCAACACTTATAGTTCTCATTGTGCTTCATGATTCTTGATTGTATCTTTTATTGTGCTCATCACGTAAGGAACCTTTGAGGAATGCTTTGAATTGTTGTATGCGCTTTTCCATCCAATTCATTAACTTAAGGAGAACTTGAAGGTTAATTTAAGCGTATCTAATTAACTTGGGGTGTTGAGTTTCATAATTTATTGAAAGAACAACTGAAAATCATTTTGTTTGCAAGTGTGTCATGTGTGGAGAAGAACCTCCTAACTAGCCTTTTATCCATCATTTTCATCCAAAAACGTTTTACAATCTATTTTGTTTTAAAGTTTCTGTTTTGTTTTCAATTTTCGTCCAAAACAAATCCCCCTTTATTTTGAAGTCTTAGATTAGTTAGAAAGTGTTTTGATTTGTGTTTCTAAGTGTTTTGATTCAAGTTTTCATACAACTTCGTCCAAGTTCTTGTTAGGTTCTCAAAACTGCCCAGAAAGTGGTTTTTAGGCAGTTTTGAGTCATTAGGTTGCTGTTTTGAGTTTTATGTTTGTTTAAGTATTTTAAAGTATAGTTTTGCATTCTTTGAGTCTAGTTTAGTGTTTTAAATTTTGTTTTTATGTTTTTAAGTCAGTTTTCAAGTGTTTAGCAATCCCTCCTAATCCCCGGCCTAGAACGATCCCTACTTACATACTTTACTACATTTGATAAAAAGAGGGTTTAATTTGTGTGTTTAGTTATTTTACGCATCATTGCTGCCTGGAGAGGCGTTCATCGCAATCTTTATAGCAATGAGCCTTGACCGAGTAGCTGAATAATTTTCTGAGGAAGAAGAGATTGCGCATGGTCGATCTTTGTGTCGAAATTTCCTCATCTTCAACACTTTCACATCGCTTTGGAGGTTGGCGAAAGCTGCTTTGCCCCCTTTCCGATTGGTGCACTTGTGGAGAAGACATATGCTTCTTGTGCAGTTTCTTTGGAGTGACATGAGTCCATCCTTCAACTTCACTTAGCTTGACTGGCATGGTTTTGGAGCATGCCCCCAGCGATTGAGATGAAGATTTTAAGTTCACAGAGCCGGAAGTGACGTCTTCTTCCGAGATTTCGTCTTCTTTGTCTTCTTGGGCCTACTCTTCAGTGCGGTTCTCTTGGGTTTGTTGCCGTGAAGATTGGCCGGTGTAGATGATGGTGCACCTCCTTACCTTCAGTGGTCCTTTTGTGTCGACTTCCAAAGTTGCTTGGCGCATCATCCTTAAAGGAATCAAGCTTTGAACATCGTCTTTTCCTGCTAAATTGTGGAGCTTTTCTCCCTTTGGCGTTGTCTTCCTATTTCTAGAAGGCTTCTTAGTTTCTTCAAGTCTGTCCAAAGCCGACCGTTGCGGAGGAGATCTAGCTGTGCCGCTTTGTTTCTTGGGTTTTGATAACCTTTCAAAGACAGATCTTTGTGGTGTTGGCGTCTCAAGCCTTTTGAAGATGGAAGTTCGGTCTCGACCACTGATGCGATCAAGTGCCGAAATTCTAGGTTTTGAATAATTCAGCCTGTCGAAGACTGAAGTTCGAGGGGCTGGTTTAGGCTCCTCTTTTGGCCTTGTGGCTTGTGGTTTTGGCTTCCTCATTTTTTTGTAGGTCGTCGATGTCCACCCTTCCTTATCACCAGTAGATGCATCTTGGTTGCTTACCCTCGGTGATGGTTGTGTAGGAGGTGCCGTGTGACTTGAACATTGACGGGAATGGTCATGCATGCTTCAGAGATGCACAGGATCGAGTGATCCAAACACGATAGTAGTAGTGTGTGCCGCAACCGTGTCTTCGAGGTCAAGCTCGATTTTCCCTTGTTGTGCTAGCTTCAGGATGAAATCTTTCAGTACGAAGCACTTTTCCGTTGGATGACTGATGAAACGGTGGAATTTACAGTACCTTGGACTATCAGTATGATTCATCTTTTCCGGCCGTCTGCACTCAGGTAGGTCGATCACCTTTTTGTCAAGCAAGTCTTTCAACATGGCAACCACATCAGAGTCGGGGAATGGATAAGTTTTCTCCTCGAGCTCATTCAAAATACGTCTACGCATCTCTTGATTATGAAAAGCTTCGGCTTGAATCGCCTTGCCTCGTGTAGAGATTTTGACGGAGCTGTGTTGACCGTCATTGCTTCCTTGGTGGATTTCCACGCAGCCTTCTCCACATTTGTCCCAAGAGCTTTATCGTTCTTGTAGTCGACGATCGGTTCTTTCTTCTCATGATGGGCGATGCTCAACTCCACGTCATGGGCGCAGGTGGCTAACTTCTCAAAGGTCCGTGGTTTGATGCCTTGAAGGATGTAGTGTAATCCCCACTGCATGCCTTAAACACACATCTCGATCGATGAGGTCTCCGAAAGTCTATCTTTGCAGTCAAGACTTAGAGTGCATCATCGGTTGATATAGTCCACGACTGGCTCATTTTTCCATTGCTTCGTACTTGTCAGCTCCAGCATGCTTACAGTGCGGCGGGTGCTGTAGAAGCGGTTAAGGAATTCTCTTTCCAATTGCTCCCAGTTGTTGATGGACTCAGGCTCTAGGTCTGTGTACCACTCAAAGGCGTTTCCTTTCAGCGAGCGCACAAACTGCTTGGCAAGGTAGTCTCCCTCCGTTCCCGTGTTGTTGCAAGTTTTAACGAAATGTGCAACGTGCTGCTTTGGGTTTCCTTTTCCATCAAACTGCATAAACTTTGGTGGTTGATAACCCCTTAGCATCTTCAGGGCATCAATCTTATTGGAGTATGGCTTTGAGTAGAACAATGAGGTGTGTGAGCTCCCTTCGTACTGCGCCTTGATGGTGTTGGTGATCATCTCTTACAGCTACTGGATAGAAAGAGATCCCATGAGTGCCGCTGCTTGGTCTGGCTTTGGCTTCACATCGATTTTCTCCACTGAAGGCTCATCTTCTTCGCCAGCTTCTCTTTTTAGTGAATCATCCTCTGGGTCGGAGTTCTCGCCGTCATGTGGCTCTAGTCGGCTGATGAGTGCAGCGATTTGCAAGTCTTTTTCTTCCACAATCTGTGTTAGCCTTGCGATCGCTTCATTCATTTGAGCCAGTTGTTCTTCAACAGAGGTAACGCCGATGGTCATGACTTGTGCAACCAATATACGTGACTTTCCTTTAGACATCCAGGATGCTAACGAAGAACGTCGTTGGCTGCTTTGGGATGTCATCTTATGTACCTCAGCAGCATGATTCGGTGCCCCCAGCGAGGTCAGGTTGATGACGGACTCACGCTTTTGATGCTCTCCTTGCTCCTTTAGCAGCACCAACTTTGAAATGGCATGTTGAGGAGCGGTTGTGGCGCCAATGGATTGTCCGTTCACGGCAGCAATGCTCAGGATCCTTCTCTTGGTGTTGAAAGAACAACTTGTCTCTTGCTTAATGCCATTGACTTTGAGGTGTGTTTGGATTCCTTGAACGGACAAAAAGATGAGAGGTAGAGATTGTCCCACTAAGCGTGCCAAATTTGTAAACACAGAAATTCCTGAAATGAACGAGACAAGAACAAATGTGTACAAAATAATATTTATATTAATGATTTAGGGGTTACAATCTCTTTATAACTTGATCCTCTGATTTGATCTCCGTAAGGTGTTGATTTGTGGATTGTGATGAACCAAGGGCCGTTGAGGCTTGATCTTGGATGAATGGTTGGAAGTTTCTTCAAGGGGCCTTTTTGGGCTTGATCTTGAAAGGTTGATGGATGAACGGATCTTCAAGGGGTTTTGGGCTTGTTCTTGAAAAACTGTTGATGAACGGATCTTCAAGGGGCTTTTGAGGCTTGATCTTGATGAACAGTTGATGGATGGATCTTCAAGGGCTTTTGGGCTTGATCTTGAAGAACTGTTGATGAACGGATCTTCAAGGGCCTTTGGGGCTTGATCTTGATGAACAGTTGATGGATGGATCTTCAAGAGCTTTTGGGCTTGATCTTGAAGAACTGTTGATGAATGGATCTTCAAGGGCCTTTGGGGCTTGATCTTGATGAATAGTTGATGAATAGATCTTCAAGGGCTTTTGGGCTTTATCTTGAAGAATGGTTGGATGTGTGGATTTGTTGATGTTGTTGATCCAAAGGGTCGTTGGGGCTTAATCTTAGGATGAACGAATGATGAACGATGAACACTTTCTTCAAGGGTCATCAGGGCTTGATCTTGAATTGGTGGAAGTTCCTTCAAAGGGTCGTTGGGGCTTGATCTTGAAGGTTGGGTTGACGAAAAACGAAGAGAGCTTTCTTGATCTTTCTGGATTTGCTTGGGAGCTTTGGAGTTTCAAAGCTTCAAGGTTTTGGTGTGAGGTGAATGGGTTATGAATTGATTATCAATTCCCTTGGTTCTGAATTCCCCCCTAAAATGAATGAAATGGCTTCTATTTATAGAATTTTCCAAAGCCTAATTTTGAATATATTATTCAGATGAAATAAATCGTTTCTGCCAAGTGTTGACACATGTCCTGTTTGATGACTTTTCTGATGATTCTCGATTTTTCGTTAAGTCACTTGCTATGTGTAAAATTTATGTGACACGTGAACGTTGAAATTTTAATTATTGATCAACATTTATTTCACCGAAATTTCGATGTCTACAGAATACAACTTTGAAATTTGTCGAATCCGCTCACTATTGAAATTCTGCAAAATGGAACTAACCGAATCAGATCTCCTAGAGAAGACCTATTCGACCTTCCATGCCACTAATATTGTCCTGCAACAACAATATAAGGCACATAAATTCACCAAGTTTTCATATTTGATCTCTATTTTACTTATCGCTAAAAAGCATAACCAGCTTTTGATGAAGAATCATCAATCTCGACCCACTGGCTCGAACATCGCTCCAGAAGCGCATGCGACACATTTTAGGAGCCATAAATGACGAAAGAATCGTCGTGGCCGTGGCAATGGGCTGCAAGCCCCACCAAGGGCCCAAGGTTAACAAGGTGTCGCACCTAAGGGAATAAATGTGACCCAGCATCGTCCACCACGCACCCTTAAAGCCCCAAACTTCAAAAACAAGGGCAAAGCTCCCGTTCAGGCCGTTTTTACTGAACTGGACATGTGCTATCGTTGTGGATCAATGGATCATTGGTCACGCATATGCCAAGCTTCCCCTAAGGCTATTACCAAGTACCATCCCCGTCATGGGTCTAACTTTACACATGTGGATCATCTGGAAGATGCAACTACATCAATGGAGATATTGGATTTTCAGGAGGCGTCAGCGCCTATGGATGAATAAATTAGACATGTTTTTTTAAGGTGTTTATCCCTAGTGGCCGAACCCATTATGAGTGGCCGGCCCTACCCCCTATTTTTCTAGGTTTATGGTTTGATTTTGAACAATTTTTTCCAAGTATTTGGAATAATTTGTTTGGTTTTGGTTTGTTTTGAATTATGGATTGTTATTTGAATGGATATTATTTTCTCGAATTACTTAATTGAATGAATGGACTTATATTTATGCATGTGACCAATTCAATCAATTTATTTCTAGGTATGTCTAGTGGGGAAGTTAGTTGTTTGGCATATAGTGCAACCATGCACACCATATTGTGTGAACAACACTATTTTACTACCTTGATACGCAAGAAAGCTCATTTGACAACTCTCTCAAGCCCATCCAACCTGATTGAAGGAGACGGAAAGACACGTATCATGTTGTCTAATGGTACAATTTTGACCATTAAGGAGGGACTCTATTCTCCATGTTCCGAAAGAATGTTGCTGAGTTTTAGAGATATTCGAGATAATAAATATCATATTGAAACCACTGAAGATAATGGTTCTGAATTTCTTTGTATCACTTTATATGAATATGACCAGAAGTGTATTCATGAGAAGTTCGAACGTCTACCGAATGGTTTGTACATCACAACCATTCGCGACATAGACGCCCATAGTGTGGCTGGCCTTATGCTTGAGTTCTAGGACACTTTGTTGCTTTGGCATGACCGTTTAGGACATCTTGGACGTGACATGATGCGTCATATCCTTAAATCTTCACACAGGCATAAGTTACATCTTTATGTTGGACTCTCGCCATACAAAGCGTGTTCTTTAGAGAAGTTGAATACTCAACCCTTATATACAAAGATTATTCACAACCCTCTTAAATTTTTTCAGAGGATTCAAATGGACATTTGTGGACCTATCCAACCAACCTGTTGACCATTTCAATATTTTATGGTGTTGGTTGACGCATCAACATGATGGTCACATGTTTGTCTGTTGTCCACAGGTTACGCTGTGTTTGCTAAACTCGTAGCTCAAATCATTAAGCTAAGGGCTCACCACCCTGATTATCCGATTAAGTCGATTCGACTGGATAACGCTGGAGAGTTTACGTCATAAACTTTTGCCGATTATTGCATGTCAGTAGGGATTGATGTGGAACATCATGTATCCCATGTTCACACCCAAAATGGCCAGGCAAAAGCTTTCATAAAGCACCTTCAATTGATCGCTCGGACTTTGGTTATGCAAACCAAACTGCCAGTATCTACCTGGGGTAATGCAATATTGCACGCAGCTATGTTGGTCCGCCTGAGGCCCACCACTACTCAACCACATTCATCGTTACAGTACGAGCCTAACGTCTCGAGTTTACGGGTGTTTGGGTGCGTCAATCGAACTACACCAAAAATGTGATGCGTCGTTTTAATGAGGATAAAGCGAAGCCTTCGAGTACACCCATGGTCATTCGGACTCTAGATGCTAAACAAGATCCCTTCCATCCAAATGAGGACGAGGAAGAGATTTTGGAACCCGAAATTCCTTACCTAAGTGCAATTGAGGCTTTATTGTACTTGGCTCAGTGCACTAGACCTGACATCTCATTCGCTGTTAATCTTTTGGCAAGACATAGCAATGCGCCCACACCCATGCACTGGAATGGTGTTAAAGACATTTTCCGCTACCTCAAAGGTACAACCGATTTGGGCTTGTTCTATACCCACGAATCTCTTAGTGTTACCGCCCCCTATGTTCCTCGGATTGATTCTTGCCTTATTGGTTACGCAGATGCTGGATATATGTTTAACTCACATAGGGCACGTTCTCAAACAGGTTGTGTCTTTATCCTTGGAGACACCGCTATATCTAGGAGGTCTACCAAGCAAATGCTAGTTGCGACTTCTTCGAACCATGCTGAGGTCTACCAAGCGATCCTGGAAGTGCTTTTTGAAGAAGCCAGTATTTCTCCAAAAAGTACTTTTGTGACCTATAACGTTTTCTGTCAATTTCAAAGCACCACTTCAAAAGATTATCCCCAAACATATCCTTAATTATTCTTCGTGATCAACAATTTATCCTTAATTTATTTTAGTTTTTATCTTATTTTTACTTTTTTATTTTTGTATTATTTAGCTCGAATTGTGAGGGTTATGCTCTGTGGAAGTATTTGAAGGAGAGAATATTTATAGAGATCGAGAAAAAGTCGTTTGATGCGCTGTACGTGCACACCGGAGCTCAAAGGTGCAAGAACTTCCCCGGAATCTTAGCCGTCCGATCAATCTACGATGCCATCTCGATCGACGTCCGCCAGAATCTCGAAGCCGTGTATTTCCTCCACCTCAGCCTCCAGGCCCGCCTCTTTCTCACCACCTTCGGCCGCTTCTTTTTCACCAACGAGTAAATAATTGATTGATTTACTTGAACAGAAAAGGCGCAAGCAAGCATTCTTCCTGTCATTTGTATTAACGTGCGCTTGTGGTGCGGCGCAGGGTATACGAAAAGCTAAGGTACGTGAGCAGGCTCCATTATTGGGAAATTTGGAAAAATAACCAAATTTTAGATTCTATATAGAATTATATCCACTATTTTAATTTTATGATAATTATAAAAAAAAACTTGATGTAAAAGTACTAATATACCCTTAATATTAGGGTTTCTCACAACAACCAAAACAAACCCTTAAACTATCTTAAAACGAGAAATTAATCTTCATCACTTTTTGGTTTTCACTATTGACTTTGCGTATGCAATTTCGTATTCTTTCTTCATCCATTATGTAATTTAGTCAATGAAACACTAAATCCAAGTATCTAATTAAAAAAAGTAATAATTACCCATGGAATTAGTACCTTCTTAAGAACATTAATTCTCATAGCTTGTCCTGCTAATTAAAGAGAAAGTTAATTCAATGGCCTCAATCTGTAGTGTTGGTACCACACATATTAGGCCTCAGACCTTGACACATTGAGCCTCAACATTTGGGCCTCATTACCCAGCCCATAATTATGTAAAAGGATGAGCCCCTTATTCTATAAAAGGGGACTCCTCCCCCCTCACAAAATGGGAGAGTGAACCCAACAGAGGGCAATACCCTCACAAACACAACAACATTCTCTTTCTCTGGGGGGACTCTCCCTCACCCTTGTAATCCATACATACAGTCAGAGAAATACAATCAGTGTGGACGTAGCCCAAACCTTGGGGTGAACCACGATACATCTTGTGTTATTTACATTATTTGCAGATTCACGGTCGGATTTACGTTGTTCCAAGACCTCCGGTTTTGTGCATCAACATTTTCATCTTGTGTTATTTACATTATTTACATATTCATGGTCGGATTTACGTTGTTCCAAGACCTCTGGTTTTGTGCATCAACATTTGGCGCCGTCTGTGGGAAACGACACGAAAAGCTATGTCGGTTCTCTCTCAATTTTTCATCTCACCATCGTGAAACTTTCACAACCTCCACCGTGAATCTACGCAACCCTCTTTTGCCAGCACATCAACAGATTTTTCAACATTCTTTGCTTTAGACGCATTTGATGAATCTCCCAGTGAAAGAGCAAGTGCTCGAGCCAGTTTATCATCATCCTGCATAGGATCCTCAGGATGACTAAAGAGCCACCCTACAAGATCTTCACAAAAGTCGCGGACTTCAACTGAAACTTGAGGGCGCTCTCTCTCTCCTGCTCTCAGTCGTCTCACTAGCGGTTGATCTTCGTAATCTCTGTCGTGCTCTGTATTACAGTAGCAACAGCTTTCCAATTTGATGAGCTCCTGATGGACAACGAAGAGTTTGGTTTAGCAGGAGGGCTGCACACCAAGTCTCCTGATCTCACATTCACGCGATCCACTTATCCGCCATCATCAACAACTGCATCGACGATCCGGAAGAGGTTTTCGAATCTGGATTCGGACTCAAATATCTAGTTTCAGGCTCTCTCCAATGCACTGAACCTCTGTAACACCCGCCCCCACTTATAAATTATATGTGTGTAATATTCCCTAAATATTATAAATCTATCAATTTTACCCTTTTTGGACTACCCTATAAGGATCTAAGTTTTGGATCCTTCTTTCTTTTCAAACTGCCACGTGGCAGCTCCCTAGCAATTTCCCTGTCTTCTCTCTCTGTCCCCCCCCCCGTGACTCCTTCTTTCTTTTTCTTCTTTTTCTGTTTTCTTTTCTTTCTTCTGTCTGTCTCTCTGTCCCTCTCGACTCTATCTCTTTCTCTCGTCTCTCTCTCTCATAGCTCCCTCATCTCTCTTCTCTGCAGCAACCCGCACGCACGCACCCGTCTCCCCCGCGCGAAGAAGACCCATCTCCTTCTTCTCTCTCCCTCTGTCCCGTGCTGCGAGCCCAGAAACCGGAGAGGAACTCCGGCGAAACCTTTATTTTTCCCGGTTGGGTAAGCTCCAAACCTTCACTTTTTCGTCCTAAGATCTGGTGAATGAGTTTTAATGGAGGTTATTTTGTGATTTTTCGAGGTTTTTAGGACGAATCGAAGCCGGGTGTAAGCACACCCAACTCCGGCGATCCCGAGGGTGTCGGGGCTTTTTCCGGCCATCTCCGGTCGTTCCACGACGAAAGGAAGGTATAAAAACACTCCATTCGTCTTGCTCTTCGTTTTGGTACCTAGATCGGACTTTAGGATGGTGTGTGGTAGTTGGCCGGAGCTGTGAAGCTCCGGTGGTGGTGCTCCGGTGAGGCCAGGCCTCCCAGGCCGGTTTCGAATAGCAGGCGGGCCTTAGGCCCGTGTGGTGAGGCCAGCCCAATCCAACCCATTTCCTTTTAATTGTTTAAATTAATTTCTGTTATAGATTAAGGCCCTTGGGCCGGTTATGTTTAGGGCATTAGGCCCGTGTGTGTAGCCCAAGCAGATTAGGCCTTGGGCCAATCTGAGTTGGGTTTTCAACCCAAAACCCTTAAGGCCTTTCGGCCCAACCCAAATTCAAAGCCCAGTGGACTTTGACCTCTGACCAGTTGACTGTTGACTTGGTCAACGGTCAACGTTGAGTTGACTTTGACGTTGACTTTGACTTTGACCGGTCAACGGTCAACGTTGACTTTTTGAGTTGACTTTTCGGGGTTTCGTTCAGGACCTCTCCTAGGCTAATTTCGACGTCCTGGACCCGTTTTTGAAGTCCGTTTTCCCAAATTCAATCGTTTGAATAGAGTTTGACCAAAGGTACTCCTTTATGTGAATAGGTGCAATTATTAACGGTGATTCTGTTATACCTTCTTGGTATAGCTTTGCACCGTCGGTGTACGGTGAGTGGACCCCTTCAAAATCATGTTTTAACAATAGAAATGCATACATGAAAAGCATGATTTAATATTTATGTTTTACGAAGTACTTTATGAGATATATGCTTACTGAGGCTAGATTGAATTATTACTATTTTTCCTATAACCCATGTTCTTATAGAATATCCGATGGATGACGATATGATATTAGAACATGTTTAGAACACCTCTTTGTAGTATAGATGATGGATGACTTTATACTACGAAGTTGTTTTTCAATATGTTATGCTCAATGGTTTTGTACTTACCTAGTGGTCCTTTCCGCTACGGGACGTAGGGATAGATTCCGGTCCGTCCCGGGCGACGGTTTGGTGTTGGCATAGGGCCTGGAGTGTGTTTCCTCTGGCTATTTAGCACAGAGACGGGGAGCCGGCATGGGGCCTGTAGTGTATTTTCCTCTGATTGTCTGTTCAGAGACGGGGAGCCGGCATGGGGCCTGCAGGTTATCGGACAATTCACTAGTGTTTATTACTTATACAAGTTATGAATTTGAGATATTGCACGGCATGCTAGGTTTCAGAAAATCTATTTTGATCATGATATATATGTTTTCATAAAACCTGGGGGTTAGTATGTTGATAACTGTTTTATTATATTTATATCAAATTGGTCCACTCATGTTTGTTTTGCGCCCCCTTCAGGACCTACGAACGAGGATTACGATATAAGCTACGAGGCCTTTCCCTACCAGTGATCCAGTGCTATACTTCTTCTGCTTCGACATCTTTTGTAATATAGCACATCTCTATCTTATATTCTGTTTGTACTCTGTAATAGACGTATGCTCTGACATTTTGCATGGATCCTAATGTTGTTAATTAGAAGTTGATTTGGTAGTATTATTGTGGCTAGTCTTGCTGCCTGTTTTAGCTTATTTATGAGTTTTTACTTAAATTAATGGCTTTCGTCACCCTTTGGGTGTCGGCCAGCACGTGATCATCCCGATGTCACGAGGACATCGGGATCGGGGCGTGTCAACCTCGCACTCGATCGTCTCGCTCGCCATGGCCGAGACCTTCGCCAGACTTGTCGAGTCTATCTACTCCGACGGCAAGCCCATCTCGTCCACTGATCTCTTGCAGAGGTTGCGCTCATTCCCCGACTCGATTAGACCAGGACTCGAGAACCTTCTCCCGATTCTAACATGGCATTGAGTCCGCTGGAGACGGCAAGCTAGGGCTCTAATCATGGGCCGATTCTCAAATTCAAGCTGTGTATTCGATTTCCTACGCCGTCGCTTCCTTATCTCGATCTCTGTCTGTGGAGCAAGCGGATGCGGTAATTGTTGCTATTGTGCAACATTCATTGGAATTTGCTGCATGTTTTTTGGAAAGATCAGAATTTAGCAGCGAAGATATGAGCATTTAGAATAATATGGTGCAGCTTTTGGAGATGACACTGTTGAAATGACCGTTAAAGAAATATGGTGCGGCTTCTTGATAGCCTTGAGAACCATGGCATATCGAGCCTTTTCCCAATTCAGATAGCTGTTCTTGGTGCACTTGGCCACCATCCCCATCATCGGAACTGGCATCAACCCAGCCAGAAGTCTCGATGCTACCATCATCTACAACAAACAGCATGCCTGGGATGATCACAACTCTTATCAGTGGAAACCAACTACTGGATATGGTGACGAATGTGACGGGAGAGCTTTGGCTCAATGGTCCCACGATCATGAAATGATGAAACTTTCATCATGAAGGAGAAATGGCTTTTCTGAGAAAGCCACAGGAAAAGCAACGAAGATGATAAGTTTTCTGCAAAATCATTAACTAGTTTATTATTTCATTATTATTTTATAGTGACATTGTTGCTGGAAACCACACCATCACATCTTCACATCATTATTGGAATTCCAATGACAGCGTTTGCTTTACAATGAGCATTTCTTTTGCAGTGTGCTTACGCTTTACAACGTTTGCTTGTCTTCACTAATATATATATTATGTGCCCCATTGCCATTATAATAAAGTTACATGGTTACACTTATGTGCTTATTATGTATATTAGTTATGTGCCCCATTGCCATCATAATAAAGTTACATGATTACACTTATGTGCTTATTATATTTATATATATATTAGTTATGTGCACCATTACCATTATAATAAAGTTACATGATTACACTTATGTACTTATTATGTCGGGTCACATTGCCTTAGATTCTTACTTTTACTATGTTATAATTATTATTGTTTGTGATGCTTATCATTACTTTGATCATTATAAGATCACTACCATAAAACGTGGCAAAGTCTGTACACCCACCACACCATTTACATTATATAATTATTTTATCACCTCATCTGATCAAATTGGATATCAACGACTTGAATGAAAATATAATATATATATATATATATATTATTTATTACCCTGTGACATATATTTAACCCAAGTACATGTGCAATATTTATTCATGGCCTAGAATATTATGATTGCCTTTAAACTATGTCACTTATACAACATGTCATTTATCACACAACAGATTAAATCATTTATTCACAAAAAGGCACATAATACATTATTTTGCCTTGACAAACTTTGTCAATTTGATTCATTCATTATACGGTCGTACTTATACTGTCATTTATTGTCAGGAATTATTGAGCAACTAGATCCACTGATCAACATTGTTGCTGATTAAAGAAGTCTACCAACTTATAGACTGATGAGTCACGTGCTCATGGTGATCTCTTGTCTGACCGGACACACACTTGCTCGGACATTCGCTTATTGGGACACCTATGTGCCTGGACCCAACTCGATGACCCTACAGATAGCCCCAACTCGATGACCCTACGTATGGCCCCGACTCAAAGACCCGACTTGTGGACCCGATCTGCGAACTAGACACATAGACCCAATATGCGAACCCGACAAGCGGACCCGAGTCATGTCGAGAATCAACATATACTGAGTGCATGTCGACATAAAATAGTTACTTGCAATGAGGAATACCACGAGCCGAGCCGCCTCGCAACGAGCATCGCCTCCAGCCGAGCAAACGCCTCGCCGCGAGCATAGCCTCCAGCCGAGTAGTCTCGTAACGTGTGATACCTCTAGCCAAGTATTGCTTTATGTTGAACATTGTCTTAGGTTGAGTACTGGTTCAAGACATCTAGCCACTTTGGCCCGTACATGGATTGGATTTGAAGTCTCCAGCCAAAAGACTCTCTTGACTGAAGACTTGGGGGACTACTGTTGGTACCACACATATTGGGCCTCAGACCTTGACACATTGGGCCTCAACATTTGGGCCTCATTACCTAGCCTATAATTATGTAAAAGGAGGAGCCCCTTATTCTATAAAAGTGGACTCCTCCCCCCTCACAAAAGGGGAGAGTGAACCCAACACAGGGCAATACCCTCACAAACACAACAACATTCTCGTTCTCTAGGAGACTCTCCCTCACTCTTGTAATCCATACATACAGTCAGAGAAATACAATCAGTGTGGTCGTAGCCCAAACCTTGGGGTGAACCACGATACATCTTATGTTATTTACATTATTTGCAGATTCACGGTCGGATTTACGTTGTTCTAAAACTTCCGGTTTTGTGTATCAACATGCAGTAATCCTCAACATTTTAAGGTAGTTTAAAGGTTATAATTATCATAAAATTAATACTTTTACATCAAGTTTTGGTTATAATTATCATAAAATTAAGATAGTGGTTATAATTCTATATGAGATCTAAAATTTGGTTATTTTTCCAAATTTTCCCCGATTATTTGTGGGAGCACGTGAGGAGGAGCGAGATTGAGGTGCCTGATTTCGTGTACGATCATGATGAGGACTTGGATCACCGTCCGATGATGGACTACGGATTGGAGAGCGATCATCCAAGGGTGTACGATGCGCCCGCGGTTGATTCTCCTGTGTCGATGTACTCCATGAGATGCATCTCTTAGCTAGTCGTAATAATTGAGAAGTTGTTTTTTTTTGTTCTTCTCGCTTTGTTACAATTTAGTGGTTGATATGTGGTTGTATTTAGATAATATATATAAATCCAAAATTTCAATTTTTGGTCTGTTAAATTATAATAAAATTGAAAAACTAACAACTAAAACCAATTGGTCCATCGATCATCACTCAAATTTTATAAAATCAAAAGAGTTTTGTCGTGAATGTTTGTAGTTTACAACCTTTGTGCTACGATTTCAAAAGGAAGTCACGAAATTAAAGAAACCAAAGTTGAAAGAGAGAGCGCGAAATTACTTATCTTCAAGAAATTTAAGTTTTGTGTTCTTCATTTCGATTTAGTTTTGACCAACAAGAAGACTCAAACTCAAGAACAAAAACCTAGAAATGATAAGTTCCGAAAATTACGCTCTTCAATCGAACTATTCCACCAATTTTTATGGTTTCTAATGCGTGCTAAGGATGACAACGAGTTCAAGCAAGTGTCGTCATAGGATGATGGGAGAAGAGAGTGGAAAGGGGTGGGTGAGGAGGGGAATCTTATTCAAGAAACGCATTACATTACCAATTACATGTAAAGATTTGAGTTCAACGAAGAAACGGATTGCATAATCTGCATACATACATCCACAATAACATCGATAAACCGCATGCTTACACATCGGATAAACTAGATTGATGATTTTACACTAGTTTCACAGCAGATGATTCTACAAATCACTCTTCATGAGAAACTGGATACTGGATATTCCGCCTCCGAGAGATGCAGAAAATGTGTCTTCAATCGCTGTCAGCAATATCCCTGTCAAGTGTTGAGAAGTAATTAATAACAAACAAATCCTATTTTTTCCAAGTGAAACACTATCAGTACACAATACTCGGGAATAATCATGCTCTCAATCTACCTCCTGAATCGCGATAGAACTTTTTCGGGTTTTGAAGAAAACCTGTATTTCTTCGTTTTTCTTTAAAACGCGCGTTATCATACATCAATTTGTTTACATTTTCGATATAGCCATTCGGTGTCTACGGAAGATTGTCATAACATGAGCACTAAATCATGGGTTTGTAATCGCTGGAAACCTACAATCCTTTGAGCTCAATGATAATGTTCTTTAGGAAAAAGACTGCATGAACTAGCCTTGTTAATGATACCGAAAATTGCTTATCTGCTATCAGATTCTGAAGATGAAATTCAGTTGAAAATACAAAGCACTTTTTGTTTCGCCGAGTGGCAAAAACAAAAATTTTGTAAGCATGTAAACAGTAAACAGTAAACATTTCACATTTTGAGAAGAATAAAGCATATCACACTTACATTAATCAGTCAGCAAGCCGATGCCGACGGAAATCAAGAACAGGGCGGAGCCAACTGGATGGTGGATGGAGCATTTTGTTAAAGGCGGACAAAGCATGTCCGTCCCGAATGATGCCACTCTCTAGCATGAACACGCGAGTGTTACACCTTTTTGATCCCCCAATTCCGTGTAAATGAGGAAGCTTTTGATCAGTGAATAAAATGCAATTTCCCTTCACTCTACCAACGTCTCTGGTGGATACGGCGAAAGACCCATCATTGCTCAAAATAAACACTTGATCTCCCAAGTTTTTCACATCAACCCACCTACCCCATTCTTGATCCAGCCTATAAACTTTAAAATCAACAGCCTCGCCGTCAACAGAAGAGGCGAAAGGATGAGGAGGAGCTTGAAAATTAGGGCCAAAAACACTAACATTTTCATTCTCAACATTGTGCTCTGGGAACCTTTCCATTTCACACTTGTCAAGGTACCGATCAACAACGAAGAGATCGCCACAAGACTCAACCAAATGCTTTCGCCCGCCAAACCCACATAACGGAGGCGAAAATTGGATCACATTCAAATCAGAATTGACCCATGAAATTGTTCCCCATCTATCAACAACATAGCATTGACCCTTATACACAATAAGATCATCATAGTGTGAGTTTTGTTCATCCACATGGGTCCATTTCTCATCCCCGAATCTCAAGAAACCCAACTTTCCGCCATTGCAAATCATAAAAATACCACAATCATTCAACTTCTTTGCATCCATGACTACCACTTTGTTCACACAAGCCGTAACAACATTGAGACTATTCCTAAACTGCAGACTATACGATTTTTGCAATTCGACCATCTTAAAGTCCAACAAATTGAATTCCTTTAAAGAGTTAGATGCAGGGGAAAACCTGAGTGGCTTGTTACTGATTGGATGCAGCAATCGCAAGTCCCCGGAACTCGACTCCTCAAACTTCACCACCCACGGTTTTGACGAATTGGGTTTTTCGCCGACGAGCGATTCCATCCGATAGACTTTGATTTGAAAGAGTAGGGCTTTGGGTTGAGTCTGCAGAGCTCCGCCATCCTCGCCGGCGGGAGGGGAAGAGAAGCTGAGGGGCAGAGGAGGGGTAACGGGTTGTTGAAAAGGGGAGACGGAGGAGCGCCATGTCTTGCAGACGCTGCGAAATCGGAGAACGTCGAGGCGGTTGTCGAGGCGATTTCCGATTGCCGGCCATAGCTCCTTTGGAAGATCGGACCACTCCTTCGTCTCCATCTTGATTGACTGGGGCGAATGGAGAATCAACGGAAAAATGGTTGTTTATCTTGGTGTGGTCCCTCCCCACTAATTCGCGCCCTTTTATTTGTCAAATCCTTATTGGATGGGGATTTCAGTTTGTCAACAAATAAGAAAACTCTCAGATTGTCTGAGATGACAGGTCGGATAGTAAGTGAATCCATATCCGTTTTGTTCTCTAATCAACCTATTTAACAATGATTGGGTGAGTTTGTCAGATTTATTTAATTTTTATTTAATTATTGTTATTTTATTTTCATTCCTTTAAATGGTTGATTCCATATTATATAAGATCAAGGGTAAAAGACTGTTTACTACTCTCATGTTTCGTGGTTTTCAACATTTAGTACATTAAGTTTTTTTCGTTTCAGAGTCATACCTAAAGTGTAAATTTTAGGACAGTCTCATACATCCGTTAGTCAAACTGTTAAATATACCGTTAATTGTGACGTGGCGCCCATGTGAACAATGACTGGGCGCCACGTGTCAGCCACGTTTTTTTTTCTTTTTTTTTCTTCTTTCTTCTTTCTTCTTTCTTCTTCTTCTTCTTCCTCCGACTGCAACTTTTTTTTTTTTCTTCTTCCTTCCTCCTTCCTTCCCCTTCTTCTCTTTCTTCCTTCTTCTTCCTTCTCCCTTCTCCTTCTCCTTCTTCTTCCTCCAAATCTGGGGAAGTTTCTTTTTTTTTTCCTTCTTCCTCCTCCTTCCTTCTTCCTTCTTCCTTCTCCTTCCTCCTTCTTCCTTCCTCTTCTTCTTCTTCTTCCTCCGAATCTACCTAGATTCGGTTTTTTTTTTTTTTTTTTCTTCTTCCTTCTTCTTCTCCTTCTTCCTTCCCCCTTCCTCCTTCTTCCTTCTTCCTTCCCCTTCTTCTCCTTCTTCCTTCTTCTTCCTCCGAATCTGGGGAAGATGAAGGTTTTTTTTTTTTTTTGAGGAAGATGAAGAAGAAGGAAGAAGGAGGAAGAAGAAGAAAGAAAAAAAAAAGTTGCAGTCGGAGGAAGAAGAAGAAGAAGAAGAAAGAAGAAAAAAAAAAGCCGAATCTGGGCATATTCGGAGGAAGAAGAGAAGAAGAGGAAGGAAGAAGGAAGAAGGAGGAAGGAGAAAAAAGAAGGAGAAAAAAAAAAAAACTTCCCCAGATTTGGAGGAAGAAGAAGAAGAAGAAGGAGAAGGGGAAGGAAGAATGAGGAAGAAGGAAGGAAGAAGAAGAAAGAAGAAGAAAAAAAAGAAAAAAAAAAAAAAACCAAATATGGGCCAGATTAGGAGAAAGAAGAAGGAAGAAGGAAGAAGGAAGAAGGAAGAAGGAGGAAGAAGGAGGAAGAAGAAAAAAAAAAAACTTCCCCAGATTCGGAGGAAGAAGAAGGAGAAGGAGAAGGGAGAAGGGAGAAGGAAGAAGAAGGAAGAAGGAGAAGAAGGTGAAGGAAGGAAGAGGAAGGAAGAAGGAGAAGGAGAAAGAAAAAAAAAAGTTGCAGTCGGAGTCGGAGGAGGAAGAAGAAGGAGAAGGAGAAGGGAGAAGGGAGAAGGAAGAAGAAGGAAGAAGGAGAAGAAGGGGAAGGAAGAAAGAGGAAGGAAGAAGGAGAAGGAGGAAGAAAAAAAAAAAAAGTTGCAGTCGGAGGAGGAGGAGGAAGAAGAAGGAGAAGGAGAAGGGAGAAGGGAGAAGGAAGAAGAAGGAAGAATGAGAAGAAGGGGAAGGAAGAAAGAGGGAGGAAGAAGGAGAAGGAGGAAGAAAAAAAAAAGTTGCAGTCGGAGTCGTCGGAGGAAGAAGAAGAAGAAGAAGAAGAAGAAGAAGAAGAAGAAGGGGAAGGAAAGAAAGAAGAAGAAGAGGGGAAGAAGGAAGAAGGAGAAGAGAAAAAAAAAAAGTTGCAGTCGGAGTCGGAGTCGGAGGAGGAAGAAGAAGAAGAAGAAGAAGAAGAAGAAGAAGAAGAAGAAGAAGAAGAAGAAGAAGAAGAAGAAGAAGAAGAAGAAGAAGAAGAAGAAGAAGAAGAAGAAGAAGAAGAAGAAGAAGAAGAAGAAAAAAAAAAAAACGTGGCTGACACATGGCGTCCAGTCATTGTCCACATGGGCGCCACGTCACAATTAACGGCAGATTTAACAGTTTGACTAACGGATGTATGAGACTGTCCCAAAATTTACACTTTAGATATGACTCTGAGACGAAAAAAACTTGATATACTAAATGTTGAAAACCATGAAACATGAGGATAGTAAATAGCCTTTTACCCTCAGATCAAATTTATGAATATACTGAATTCAAGAATTGAAAATAAACTCAATTTTTTTTACCCACCATAGAAACTTAATTGTTGTGAGTCACTCGTTCTGCTTTTGTGTAATGTTCGATTCAGAACGAAAATATGCTACCGCATCATATGTAAAAGAGTTGCATGTGAAGAAGGATTTATTGTATCTTCGCATGTATACACAATAAAATTAAGGTAAAATTAGATAAAAGCCCTCCAATTCTACATCTTATTAATTAAACATTTGTGGGTTTTCAACTTTTTATTAAAACGCTTCGTATTTTGATTAATGTGCTTCCATCTTTATCCATGTCATTTTTTAATTTCCAACTCATCATTTTAAGTAAATTTTAAAGAAAACAAAAGAAAAAAAATGAAAATAAGAGTTATTTATATTGAAACTGATCAGATCTAATCCCTAAATTCTTGGAAAGAAAATAAGTTTGAAATTTTTTATTGAGTCATTATCCCAATAATTAATTGTTAAGAATTTGATATAATTAATTTTCAATACAAACTTTTAATATGAAAAATTCTCTCTTTTTTAAGGGTCATAACGTACCACTAGATTGTACGTACCAAAGTTAAGTTACCACATTGTACCAATACCATGGTACATACTAAAACAAGAATAACATAACATGCCAAAATTAGTAATCTGTAATGTACCAAAATATTAATACGTACCAAAACTAAGATTATATAATGTACCAATTATGTACCAAGATATTGGTACGTTATGTTTAATACATAATTGCATTCATATATCATGTCCATAATTGACACACCCTGACCTAGATCGAGGCATGCCGGCTACGTCACCCTTACGTGACGGCCATCATGCACCGTGAGGGCATGGTCGGGGCCCAAAACAGATAATATCGTGTTACGGCAGAGTCGAGCCCGGGATGTGGTGGGGGCCAGGCTGGGATGTGAGATAATTGGTACGTTATGTTTAATAGGATGTTAGTTGTATTTTTAGAATTTTAATGATATTTTTTATTTGAGTAATGAAAAATGTCGTTTGAAATGAATTATGGGATAATATATCTCCTAGATTTTAGGATTTAGGTGATATTAATTTGTCATTTGATTAGTAAACCAAATATATGTAATTTTTGTTATTAAAAATTAGATAAGAATGTTTGATCAAAAATCTAAAAGCTATGGATGTTAAATCTAAGAATTTCAAAACTGAGGCGCCTATATCAAAACACCCCATTGTATGATGTTGTTCAAAGATCACGGTTGTTTGCTTGTAACTGCGTGTTGACAACTTGATTAGTAAAAGTAATGTGAGCATGGATTTATTTAGTGTGTGTTGGATCTTTTCCATCACAAATTATGCAAGTAATCTGCCCAAAATAAATGTTTATGGATTCTGTTACATGTTATATGATAGTAGATTTGGAAAAAGAAGCTGGGGCAGAAGTAGACAGTGTAGTGGAGTGGATGTAGGTACTTCGAGAGGAGGTCTGGTTCCGGAACCTTATGTGGGGAAGAAATAATAGGTAGGGTTTAGAGTTTCTAAAGTCTTTTTTTAATATTTTTGGTTTAAAGTTTGGCAACACATTGGGCTTAGCACATTTGAGCTTACAAATTAGATTTAGAAAATATTACCCAAAACAGATAATTAAATACATAAAATAAAATAAAATAAATTTAATTAATTCAGTTCGGTTCAGTTTCTAAACCATTAAAACTGAAATCGAACTAAAAGAATTTGATTCGGTTCGATTTTCGATTTTTTTCGGTTTTTGATTTTTTGAACCCACCCCTAATTGTAGGTGATGGTGCTTCTGGTTTTGGTACAAGTAATTTATTATCCTAATTTTTTGTTTTATTTATTTTTAAATTTGATGAGTTCGATGGTGTAGCAGGTGTGCTAAATTTGATGATATGTTGCTTGTTATTGTAAAGCAGGTGCCGGCTGGAATGGGGCGGAAGAGGATCATTTTCAAATTCATTTTGTGGAAATTCTAGGAATTTTCATATTCTAATTGTTTATTGTATACTGTACGACTAGTTTTAATAAGGTACTATTTATATTTAATTTTAAATAAAAAAAAGTCAAATAATTTCTGATCGCATGATATACGATGAATGATTAAACTGTGAGAATGCCTGTATCCGGATGAGATTCAATTCGAATGGGGCACGGTCATGAGTGGGACCCAGGTAGGTATTGCAGAAGGTGAGATGGTCCAATTTGGCACCCTTTCCGTTGTGGTGCAAAATTCAGTGGAAAACTCCTTGTTAGGCAAACACTTGATGGTATTGGTGGTGTACCTACTCATTCCCAAATATTTTTTTTATTTTTTTTAACTAAATGACTTAAATTATTTTTTGTAAAGAGGATCTTTAAATAAAGATTAAAAAATTAAACGGTTATGATTATGAAATTTGTACGGTCAAGATATGTTATTCGTAAGGGAGAATGAACTCATCCTCCACAAGGATGTATAATACTTGCATGAACTCATCATCTCCATTGAAGTATAATACTTGCATTCCTTATGTGTGGATGCATGTATTCCCCTATTTGCGAATACTATATATTGACCGAATGAAATCAATTGTCGGACTCGTTTAATTTATAGGGATGCACAAATCCCCTATTTGTAAATACTCTATATTGACCGAATATAATCATTGATCAGAATCTTTTAATTTATAGGGGATACACATATATCCCCTGTTTGCTAATATCATATATTGACCGAATGAAATTAATGATTGGAATTGTTTAATTTATTAATCTTCGATTGAAGATCACTCATGCAAAAAAACCATTTAAATTGGAGATCATTTAATTATCAAAATACATCAAATAAATGAACGGTTTATCATAAATATATTGCTTAATACCTACACCGTCGATTTGTTCTATACATTTGAATGATTAAATGATATTCAATTGAAATGATTTTTTGTAGAGTGATCTTCAAATGAAAATTAAGAAATTGAACAGTTATGCTTATAAATTTTTGCGATCAAGATACGTTATTCGCAAAAAATAATCAAGAGGAGTGCAAGTATTATCTTATATTAAAAGAAAATACTCTTTATTATATTGGAAAAAAGAACTTCTGTGACACTTTGAAGATGGAAGTGGATCCTCTTCGAATCTACTTTGTGGGAATCCCTGGGATCCCTACATCTTAGCTGTTCATCGTACATCATGCAGCCAGTTTTCGTCAGATACTATTTGTGTTTAATTTTAAATAACAAAAAGTCAAATGATTTTTTACCGCACGATATACGATGGATAGCTAAGATCTGGAGATCCCTAGGATCCCCACAAAATGGATTTGGATGGAATCCAATTCCGTTGAAGATATCGTCGCAATTATTGCTAATTATTCCAATTTAAACATGGTTCAAAATAACAAACCCTCACAAATTTAACTTATTTTTACATAAAAAGAGAAGAGAAGATTCATTTCCACTTTATTTTTGTGTTGAATCTTGTCATTAGGAAGTGATATTAACATGAGTAGCCACCAACCGACTGAAATTCATGGGTGTGACAAGTCTTGTTCCTCCACCATAGAGGGTAAGTGCTGCCAATTTCGAAGCATATTCAGTGGGATGATAACTGTCCCAGAACAAGAACTCGTGCCGATTCGCACAAAGGTTGGGGCCAAGGAGAAAAAAGCATGGCAATTCTCCATTGAACTTTCCTGATCCACAGCAGGCTGATTGGACGTCCTTGAAGCCTATCAAGTTGAAAGATTGTATCTTCATTTTTTAAGACTTGAAAGGTAAATCTAATCATAACAACCCTAGTGATTTTGTGAGAAACATTTTAGTGTGACGGTAGTATTGTCACATGGTGTGTTATTAAATGCATTGTTATTATTAGTTATAGTATGTGTATCTATTTATTAATATTATTATTTTCATGAAATATTAAGTTATGATCTACTCATATTATAGTATGTGAATACATAAGTAACATAGTGATGTTTGGAGATTGAAATTGTACAATAGGTGCATTTGCACAGGGCTCCAATCCTAAAGGGCTCATAAAAGATGATATCAAGGTTATTCACATATGTACCAACTTGGTTTGTGGCTAAAACACTTCATCTTTGAAATTTTTTCTAGGTTCTGTATGTGAATAAAAGAAATATGACCTCCATATGCATAAGAGAAATCACCTTTATGTTATAGTTTGGTTCTACCATGCTCTAAATTTTTTTTTTGGTTGATTTTAATTATAACTCAAGTAATTATACTCCATTTAGATCACTTATTAATACAATAAACATCCTCGTGACGATCGTTATGACAACACGATCTCTAGTTTGATTAATTTGCACATATATCTTTAAAAGATGATTAAGAAAATAAACATGTTGTTGTTCTAAAATTTATAATGTGAAAATATGTGAGTCGCAGATGACCAATGGACAAGGTTGTACAGGGATGGATGGACAAGGTGGTGCACTCATGGGGTCTTTCAGTTGTTAGATTCTTTTTACAGCTTGTATAAAGAACAAATTCTAGGTTCAATTAAATCACCATGTATTAATATTCTATATGAAATGCTTACCGAAGGCTAATGGGTCTTCAATGATACTCATGGTCATTTCATAAGTATTCGCGAGTGAGTATTTCATCCCTACCAATTTTGAACTCATTTTTCGCAGAAGATCCTCAAGTGAAATGAAAAAGGATTGAGCGAGCTTGTTTAGATCTTCTCTACAAGCACCCGGCTTCTTTGATGAAGCACGTAGTTTAGGACAGCATCCAATTGGAGGAATACTCATAATCCCAAATTTGCGAGCTCCTAGCTTGTATAAACTCTGCATTATACAGATATTAAGAATTGATTGGAAACAAAAAAAATAAACCCAGGGGAATGATAAGAGGATCAAAATTTGAATAATGTTTTTGGTACTACCTATACTAATTAATCACCTTGACCACATTTCTAATAATGGTGGACTTGTATTTGTGACGTAATCAGTATAATGTGATCAATAAATAGAGTTCAAATAATAACACTTGTCAAAACTTAACAATAATAAGCGGAATGATGATACTGAGTGACAGTTCTTATACTGATTAAGGTAATGTTAGGGAGACCAAATTTGTAAACAAATTTGCAAACTAAATAATGTGGTACCAATAGGAATGAACTCGTTTATCAACACTTAAGTAATAATCTAATTATCAACTTTCATGTTATTTAGTTTACAAAATTTTGTCTATAAATTTAATCTCTCTAGCATTACCCTACTGATTAATGTATACATGTGAGATCCACCTATGTTGAAAATTAATTTTGTGTATCTATTGCACACCTCTAAATGACCATGGTACGTGAACTGAAGATTTGTGATGTACAAGTCGTCGTTATGATCAACTAAGGTGGAGGAATTTGGAGGAACATGCTCGAAAAGGTCGTTGCTTCCAATACTAACGACGAACAAAGACTTGGCAAGCACATTAGCAGTTGCAACGGGACCTATCAACTCTGTCAAATTCCCTTTGACCGTCGCAAATTGTTGAATCTGGTCGCTCAGTGGCACAACTTTGATCTACAACATAGTTAATTACACAACACAGAAAATAAATAAAAAATCATGATAAAAATTTTGATTTCAAAGTTAATGTTTCCAGCAATGGTACGACTGTCGCTCTATTAGAAAGTGTGTTCATAATTTAATTTATGTGTCTAAATAGCATTATAATTTTATTAAATATGATTTAGTGTTCTCTTGTCAAACTTGTTATTTTGTTCATGTTTACATTTTTTTCCACGTGTAAATCGATTCACGTTCTAATACTAAACAATATAGCAAGTGAACATTTCCCGTTAAATTTTTGTGTTGCGTGCTTACAAATCGTTTTTGGCCAGTTTCGTAGAATATGCCGGCTCCAGCTGAAGCAAAGTTCACCCCCCGCAGTATATCCCTTTTAAAAGTGGCTGGGTGATTGATCATATACAAGAAAGGTGGCGGACTTCTCTGGTAGCCAAATAGACTCGCTACAAAAAATCAATAAAACCAGCAACTTAATACGACAATAAACTAAAGATCCTAATTAAGCCGGTGCGTGCATGCATGGTGTATAAACAAGGAGACTGCTCAGCTCCCTACTATATAGAGTGGTATTTTTCTCTCTTCACACATATCAAACTATGAGTCTATGACTAGAGAAATGCAGAAATATGCTTCTAAAGGAATGGCTCAAATATATATATATATATATATATATATATATATATAAATAGCTCAAATATATATAAACAACATAATAAAGAATGACGATTCCTGTACCGATTTGGTCGGCGCTGTTAAGGCCGTTGCTGAACCTCCCAGTAGGCACAGAATAAGGCAAATCAACCCCATTGGGAGAGAAATCAGCCCTGCAGTAACTTTCTGGTAACCAATTGTTGGTGCCGACATCCACAGTGGAGTCTCCTAATATGAAAATTGTCACTGGATCATCTGCATGGGCTCTGTACCCCAAAGAAAATAGAAACAAAAATGCAAATAATGGACCACAAAGCTTTGCTTTCTTTGCCATGATATACATGTACAAGATAACAGAAGGGCTAGCTATATATCTTTGCTGCCGGCCAAGGTTCCAAACTGAATGACTTTTATTTATGTAAGTCTCGACTAATTGATTCCTTATTTATAATCCAGAAAGACTGAAAAGTGAACAAACCCATGATGCTATGTTGTCATTGTCCCAGCCCCTATATCAACCAAGAACTTGATTTTTATGGCGGATTTGCCTAAAAATAATACTTGCACGTGTGTATTTATGCTTTGTGTGTGATCATATAATTCACCAGCATATTGACAATCCAAAAAGTTAAAACCCTAACGTCAATTCTCTTAATTTTCTCTAACCACGAAAAATTATAATATTTAAATTGTAAAACATGAGCAAATCAGTAAAGCTAGATCGACTCAGCTTAATTGACTGGTACTACATAAGTAAAGCTCGACAATTAGACCATCTCCAAGGGAGATAGCATTTGAATAGTTAAGGTATATTTGCTATACCACCTATGAAAAATGCATTTAAGGCAGAGTTAGTAACCTAATTAGCAAATTAAGAATTAGTAACTTACCTTGTATATTTATAAGGTTAGTTGCTACTTCTTCAATTTAGCAAATTGTGTTTCGGGGTATAGTTTTCTTCAAAAGTATTATTTAGTGAAGAGTTTAAAACTAAAATTTGGCACCACAAGATATGATATAAAGTTAAGATATTAATATTTTAAAATTAAAAAAAAAAAACAAAATTTAAAGAGTTGATTGAAAAGTGAGTTGGATAAACAAAATTTTAAAATAATATAGAAGTGTCAAATAAGTTATCAAACCACAGTTTTAAGGAAAACTTGACTAACTCCTTAAAAATGCTTTGATATTTCTTTCTTTACTTTTTTTTCCTGTTGTCAAATTTCTTTAACAATGATTGTTTTCGCTGTACTGTTGTCTTCTTCACTTCTTTCTTTATGTAAATGTCATCTCCTCAGAATTAACTATCGTTTTTGGACTAATTAAAACAAATAGGAAAAAAGATATGAAAAGATTGTTGGTCCTTCAACTTTATGTGTTTGTATTTCTTCGTTGTCCTGCAGGTTCTACTTATTTTCTCCTAGTTAGGAACGATAATCCTCCGAATACTTGTCAGTGCATGGCAATCGTCAATCTCTGTAAGTTCAAGAATTAATAGAGGAGAGTTTACTCTTAATAAAGACTGTTCCACTTCTGTGATGTAAGTGAAAAGAAATCATATGGGGTAGGGTTGGATTCTTGATGACACTTTGTATTTATACCACCCACTCTTAAATCCCTCAAAATTCTTCAGACATTAAAATCCTAATAAATCTTTGAAATTCTCATTATGCCTAGATTTGAATGTATTATTTAAACTCTTAATCAACTAGCTCTTGATTTGAGTGTATTCTTCAAAATCCTCTTAAATCTTAATTTGACTACACAATGAATTCATAATCTTTTAAATTCCTCTTTTTAAACTCTAATCGACTACACCCGGATTTTAAAATCTATTAAAATCCTATCAAATTCTAATTTGACTACACCCCTAAAAGATTGTTCCGCTTCTGTGATGAACGTGAAAAGAAATTACATGGGGTAGGGTTGGATTCTTGTTGACACTTTGTATTTATACCATCCACTCTCAAATCCCTCAAAATCCATCAACCATTAAAATCTTAATAAATCTTTGACATTCTCACTATGCCTAGATTTGAATGTATTCTTTAAACTCTTAATCGACAACTCCTTGATTTGAGTGTATTCTTCAAAATCCTCTTAAATCTTAATTTAACTGCACCATGATTTCATAATCTTTTAAAAGTCTCTTTTTAAACTCTATTCGACTACACCTGAATTTTAAAGTTTATTAAAATCTATTCAAATCCTAATTTGACTACACCTCTATAATATTCTTTGAAATGACTTATCTCTGTTCCGACAATATTTGGGTCAGATCCTTTATACGGCTCATTCTATGTGGCACATTAGAATACCACGTGTATTCTTTTTTTTTTTGGTTAAATAACTTCCCACTAATCTACAATTTAAATAAGGTTTTTTAAGTCATTCAGAACTACGATCTAATGATATTCTTCTTCACTTAAAAGTGAGAGGTCTTATATTCGAATCTCATGGATGATGAATTCGATACCAAATTAGGTTACTCATTGTGTGGCTTAGCCGAACTTCCTTTCCTCTTAGTGTAAAAATATCATTGTACTAAAAAAAAGGTTTTTTTTATTAGACAATACTAGAGAGACTCAATTTTTAAATCAAATTTTGTAAACCAAATAATGTGGTTGTTGATAATTGGATTAATACTTAAGTATTGATTAACGTACTTATTTTCTATTGGTGATACATCATTTGATTTGCAAATTCAGTATAAAAATTTAGTCTACCTAGCATTACCTTTTTTATTAGCACCCCACAAAATATTGAATACACACTATTAAAATTTAGTATTATATAATTTGCATATCCTAAAATGCAATGACAATTTTGACATCATAAGATTATAAAAAAATTGTAAATACCACCCAAATCACTTTTAATATATATATTCCAAAATTATTTATAACCTCAAATCAAGTTTTATGTGTATTTCAAGAGATGGTCAGATCAAATGTTTCTCATTTTTTTTTTTTTCAGTTGGACATCCACCTCCGTCTTGTATCTTTTCGATGAGCAAAGAATACCAAGTTTGCAGTGGCCCCATGAAAGCTTTCATCATCATATTGAAATTGGTTTTATTGTATACAGTACGTAGCTCTCCAAGCCGCGTATTAAGCTGAAGAAGTTGAAATATAATTGGTGACAGCGCTGCATGCCAAATTCAGTCATTCAACTGCCACCAATATTCAAATTTCCAAGTCTCTTGTTCTAGATTCAAGCAAAGAAAACCTGGACATTTATGCTGCTAATAATATAATCACAAGTATAAATTGGACACCTCTGCTGTTAAGAATATAATCACCAGATAAGCTGTGCACGTTGTATAACTCCAAAAAAAGAAGAAGAAAAACTCATCAAGAGTGTCTCAATTTTCTATCCATGATTCATGGAGGCATTCTATCCAATTTTTTACTCATATCCCCACATTTTCCGTCAACCCGATTTTATTGTTTCGTGATTACACAAAAGTATAATATAAAAATAAAAACATAAAATATGTATTTGCACTTAAGATGTGAAGCATCAGGTGTATGTAAATAATGTGGAGTGTACTTTGAAAGTGTAGGGTGTGAGAATATTATGGAAAAGTATGTGGGATCTATTAAGATAAATCTTGATTAAAAAAACAAATTTAAAATGGATTCAACAATATATAAGGTGTTAATAAAATACGTCTTCAAATAATCTTCTAATAATACATAACTTAATTCAAACGAGAACAATCTCAACAGAAAAATTCAATCTAGCACATTTAATTAGGTGATTATATAAAATAATATTTTTATAATAAAAGATAACGATTAACATATTAAGTAAATAAATAAAGATAATAAAAGATTTGAAATTCTGAGTCGGTGACAGATACATTCTGGAGATGGAGAGTGAACGACATACAAACTTGAGATAAGGGAATAAGTGTCAATTTGAAGATGGAAAGCTCTAATTTGGAGTGAGTATATCAATTCATTCAGATTTATTCAAAATTAGAGAAAAAATTTATAAAAAAAATTAAAAGTTCAAAATCTACAATGGGTTTTGGTAAAAAATTTCGGAATGAATTGGTAAATATCGTTGATGTTCAAGAATTTCCTATATCTCGCTGATATACGGTGAAGTTTGCATTTCAACCCCATTTCCATACCAACTCTTGAATTTTCAGATATTTCAATGAAAATATCAATAATTTCGTTGGTATTTTAAATATTGGTTTGATCTAGTTTTACATTTGAATTCTTAAAGCTTTGCATTGCTGCCATTAGGAAGGGAGAAGAGGGATGCATACGATAAGGGGGAAGAGGGTTAGGTGTCCTGCACGGGCTACTCTTTATTTTCTATTTTTTTATTTTTTGGAATAAACGGTATTAATGTGGTTTAAATTCGTCTTTGACGAGAATCAAACAAAAAACCTCTCACTTATAAGTGAAGAGGACCACTAGACTGTAGTAGCCTCATTCTTTTCTATTTGTCTTTTTTTTTTCCGCACCTATGGCTACTAATTAATGCATATTGCTGCTAAAGGAAGTTCACTAGGAACATGTGCTGGAAACATGAGGAGGCGTAGTGTTGTCATAAATGTTATTTTAGGAATAATAGTGGATAGAAAAATAATATTTTCTTTATCTAAATTACAAATTAATAAAATTCTGTTTGTCAATCAAAAAGCAATGAAATTACTATTAGACCCTATAACATATAACTGAAAAAAAATATTAGAAAAGAAAAAAATGTGGATATTAAAGTAATTTTGCATAATCAAGTTCTTGCTTTTTTTTTTCTCAACCTCACAGCCATATCAACTTATCAATACTTAAACTCACATTTCTCTCTCTCTCCGATAACTGTCAACCCCCACTCATATCTCTCTCTCCCTTGTCAACCCCCATTTTATTCATGCTGCCTGTTTAAAACAAATAATGCCTCATAAAAAAAATTAGAAAAAAACAAATATTTGAGATAAAAAAATTAAAAAAATGTTTTTTACGCAGAGTGTGTGGCATTTGCTAGTACAATAATATGAAAATGTAGCTCAATAATAGGAAGGTGGTTCTGTTTTATTTTTGGGTAAATAGTCAAAATAGTCCCTGAGATTTGCATAACTCATCATTTTGGTCTCTAACATTTCAAATCAATCAAAGTGGTCCCTGAGATTGTCCATCATCCATCATTTTAGTCGTTCCGTTAAAAACTCCGTTAAGTGTCCCAGAGCTCTTGTTTGGAAGTTTGGACAATTTTCAAAACTTCGTAACTCAATCGTTTCTTAACCAAATTCGACCCATAATATATCAAAATGAAGATAGGAAAGTGTAGAATAATATTATACCTATTTAGAAGCCCAATGGTTGCCGAAAATGGCCGGAAAATAGTTTCAAAGTTGACTGGTCCGAGAGAAAACTGGAAAACTCGCCGGAAACTGGGTAAACTTTAAACGTTCATAACTTCTTCAATACTCAACAAAATCAAGTGATTCAAAAATAAAAATCATACCTCTAGACGAGATGAAGAGAATGGTAACTTTTTAGATGGCTAATGCACCTTATTTTGGCAGAAAAACGGCTCGAAAGTGGCTGTTCACTTCCACTTTCAAGCCGTTTTCTGGCCAAACCACGGTGAGTTAGCCATCTAAAAAGGTATCATTCTCTTTGTCTCATTGAGACATATGATTTTTATTTTTGAATCACTTGATTTCGTTGAGTATTGAAGAAGTTATGAAAGTTTAAAGTTGACCCAATTTCCGACGAGTTTTCCAGTTTTCCCTCGAACCAGTCAACTTTAAGGCTATTTTCTGGCTATCTCCAGCAACCATTGGGCTTCCAAATAGATATAATCTTATTCTACACTTTCCTATCTTCATTTTGATATATTATGGGGCGAATTTGGTTAAGAAATGATTGAGTTACGAAGCTTTGAAAATTGCCTAAATTTCCGGCCAAGAGTTCCGGGACACTTAACGGAGTTTTTAATAGAAGGACCAAAATGATGGACGGTGGACAATCTCAGGGACCACTTTGATTGATTTGAAATGTTAGGGACCAAAGTGATGAGTTATGCAAATCTCAGAGACCATTTTGGCTATTTAGCCTTTATTTTTTAACCCAATGCTCAGCATATAACTACAAGGTGGCTTGCCCTTCTCTAAAACCATCGCCTTTTCTCCCTCCAGAAACCCTCACCTGCAAATCACCCTAGCCGCTGGGCCCTTGCCATGGCTTGGGGCCGGTAGCAGCCCATCCTTATCTCCTCATCCTAGCTTCCATTTCCTTCATTTCCTCCCATTATACCTTCTCCTCCCTTCTGCTTCACCGCATTTTTCTTTCTCTCTATGTTTCTTCACCTTTTTTCCTTCCCCCATCCATGGTTTTTTTTACTTCTTTTTCCACCATGTGGGCACTACTCTCTCTTCTCTCCCTTAATTGTGCGTTGTTTTCGGGCCACCATCCCAGATTCGTTCTCTGCCCTTGTCAAGGCTTTCTCTTTGATTTGGGGTTTGATTTGAGGTTTGTGTTTGGTTTGGGGCTGTTGGTGAGTTGGAGCCACTTCCATCATTCTTTTCCGGTGCTGAGATTTTCAAATTGAATTTTGCCATCAACTTTTCTAGGGAACAATCACCTTCTACGCCCAGGTCTGGTGCTATGCCACCTGGGTTGTGCAAACTTTGAGGTTGCTCAACCTTGGGCATGATAATTTGACGTTGCACTGCTTGAGTCGACCTATTTTAGAGGCCCCGCCGCTTGAAGTTTCTAGATCTGGACACTCCGATGTCTCTTCATCTGCTGCGGAACTTGCTAATGGTGCTGGTCCTATTGGTGCTTGTCATTGCAGGTTGTCTTGTGTCAAAATCGTCCTATTCCTTCATCAGAATATGCCGACTTGTGGTTCCTCTCTCGGATTTTTTCTTTTTTGTTTAGTTTCGGATTAGTTTAGTTTAATTTAGTTTATCTTAGTTTAGTCCTGTTGTCTCGCCTAGCGAGTGTTGTTGCCATGTTGCAACGTTGGCTGGATATAGTTTTCGCATTGAGCGATGTGTTATGTGGTATCGTCTACCTCCGATGACTTTATGTGATCTCGCTTTCGCGATGACTTTATGTGGCCTCGCTTTTCGGTGATGATCCTTTGCAGTTGCTAATGCAAATCTATTATATCTATCGTTCCGTGACAGTTTTGTATGGTGGCGTGTGAAGTTTTCACACATGTGGTAGCTGTTTAGGGGTTTTATTATTGTCGCCTTACTTGAGCAATTTCACCTCCAAATCATTGTTTGGTCACTGGAGTATTATACCCAATTGGTACCAATGTACTGTTTGAGATGATGAATGAAATACCAATCTATCTTTGCTTGTCCCAAAAAAAAAAAGAAAAAAAAAAACTACAAGGTCTCTTCCTCTTTTATGGTACAAGATTTAACTATGAATTAAGGGATCTGGTCTTCTTATATTATACATAGAGTATATATATATATATATATCAAGCAAGTAGGGCCAATTGACCAAAAGTCATGGGTGCCACGAATCCACCGCCAGCATGAAGAGCTAAAGCTGCAAGAAGAGACGCAGCTTGTGTTGGATGAAATTGATCCCAGAACAATTAGACATCGCGATCTTCACACAAATAAGAGTCTGGTTTGCATGGATACTCTGCATTAAAATTTCCTTTTCCACAACAAGCTTTTGTGGCCTCTTCATCAAAACCTACAAAATGTTACGATGTTTGTTATATACCATATAAAATTCTTTGAAAAAAAGAAACAAATGTACATATTAAAGGCCATTTGGATTTACTTCTATAGAAAGTAGTTTGCTCGTAAGTGCTTTTATTGGCAGCGTGCCCAAAGTCTTTATAATATGTTTAAGTTGTAAAATTTCTTTAGTGCCCTTCTTCCATTACCAAGTTAGTTGGATTTTTCTCCTAAAGAACTGGGTTTTAAAAAGTCTCTCTCTAAACCGTAATGTTACCAAGGGCCACGAAAAATCATTTTTATAAAATCTATGCCAACTGCACAAAACACAGATTTTATAACACATATATATGCATTCCACACTATTTTTGTGAAACACTACTACCAAAAGAGTAATTTACCAAATTTTTTTGGGTCTTTAATAATTTGTGTGGCCAATGTATATGCATCTGCAAGTGCATATATCATCCCGTCGCATTCTGCACTTTACTTCTGCAAGACTCCTTGAAGTGCTTTGTAAAACAATTTAGCATACTCATTCATGGGCTCAGAACAGCTACCATCTTTAGCAGAATTACGCTGCAATGGGACGCACCCAACTGGTGGAACACTAATAATCCCAAATTTTTTGGCTCCAAGGTCAAAAAGACGCTGGAATTGAAAACTCTAGTTTAAGAAAAAGACTGTTAATAATTAATTAAGACATCACTATTTATAATCAAACGATATTCCTTCTCTAAACTATACTAAGAGAAGGAGAAAGAGTTGAATCTGGGATACAATGAGTTGAAAATGAAGAACCTAATCACTAAGGCAATCCACCAATTGCATTAAGAAGTCTCTTTTGATTGATCTACAAAGTAAAGAAATAAGAAGAAAATTAAAACTGGCAATTAATGGTACCCTTAATCGACTTTCATAAGTGGACATGAGAGTCGCAATGAAGACTTTTGCAGAAGTAGTATTGTTAAAAAGAAAATGTTCGAAGATGTCATTGCCTCCAACGCTGAAGAGGAAGAGAGACTTTGATATATTAGCCAATCCACTCTCACCCTGTAATTTTGATATAATGTCGTGTACTCTTGCAAACTGCTCGAACTGTTCTCCAAATGCAACGAGATGTCCCTACGTGCATATTGTAACCTAGTTAACTTTACATATATTTTATTATTCTTGCATATAGGAAAATAAATGTTTCTCTTGCCAAACGCTGTTGCTGTAACATATTGAACATATATCATGTTGTTGAGACTGTCATACTGATCACAATCTAATTAATAACACAAGCAGTTATCTGGCAATATAAACTCCACAACAGAACATCACTTCCTCACGTAAACAAGACTTTTGATTGAGTGTGTGTGGTACTCAACAAAATGAACATTATAAATTACACAAGTAACTCTGTTCTTTTTCTCAAAGAGTCTATGTAATAGCCAAAAAATAGTGTTCTAAAATGTCCCACTTAGGAGCTAAGCAGTTATAGCAACCTCCATAATTAATCTCTAAGCGTTTAAAAAATAAGAAAGAGCGCATACACCTGCCTAAGCGCCCGCCTAGACCTGCCTAGAGTGCCTTTTAAAATCTTGGCCAAAAAGCACACTTCTTGCAATATTTAAATTATATTTTATCGTCAACAATAAAACTATTTAGACACACCAAATTTACGTACTATTGGCGCATTCTTTAACAGAAGTAAGTCATATGCCTACGAGAATATCTCAATTAGTATGTCGGTTTTGTATATTTTTTTCTTTTTAATTTTTTTTGGTTTGATTTTTTACCTGAGAGAGCATAAAGAGAGATTAACTGCGACTGTGTGAGAATTAAGCTTACCCATCTTTGTTTTCCAGTGTCATTCAGGAGTCCTGAACCTCGGAAGCGAAGTTGACTCCTTTTGTTAGCAAACGGATCTTCCCGTTCTCAATCTCGTCCAAAAGGAGAAAAGGTGGGGACTCAGCTCGAAACCCAGAAAGTTGGCCAATAAATAACACATCAAAGAAATAAAAATTAATTGACCGAAAAAATTAGTAATTATGATGATTATGTACTAACAAAATTAGCGAGAAATTAGTGTAATATTGTCACGTGGTGTTATCATTTTATGTATTGTAATATAAGGAACAGTATAATTAATATGTCACACTCCTATGATATATTTATAAAGAAAACATGCAAGTTATAATTTAGTGAAATGGTAATGTAATGTTAACAATAGCTATGGAAGCTGAAAGATCAGGAACGACTAGAGAGAGAAAGAGAGAAAGCTCAAATAGAGAGGGAAACTGTAACTGATTTATTATTTCAGTTGCTACCTTATTACAAGAGATATTTCACTATAAATACATGTTGACCTATCTATCTCAACTCATATAATCCAATGACACATGTCATAATCTTGACCACTAATATACTCTAACATTCCCCCTCAATCTTATGTCTTCGGCGGACCAAGCATAAGATTGGAACAATGAGTGGTAAACAATGGAGAACATAAACCTTTTGTAAAAATATCGGCATATTGAGCTGTGGAAGCAACAAATTGCAGAGAGATAACACCTTGTTGAACCCTTTCCCTCACAAAATGACAATCCACCTCTATGTGTTTGGCTTTAGAATGCAATACCGGATTTGTAGCCAAAGCCATAGCAGAGACGTTGTCACAATGTAAACTGGGAGGAGAGGAAATGTCAACATGAAGGTCCTGCAAAAGTTGTTGAAGCCAAACAACTTCGGCAATGGTAGTGGCCATCTCTGTCGATGATCAGCTAACTGTGTATTGTTTCTTAGAACTCCAAGAAATGGGATTGTAGCCTAAAAACACAACAAAACCTGTAGTAGACCGCCTATCATTGGGATCACCAGCCCAATCAGCATCTGTGTAAGCTCGTAAGCACAGAGAACCAGGTTGAAAAAAGATGCCCCAGCCTAAAGTACCGCGGAGATATCGAAGAATCCGCTTGACAACAACATAATGAGATTCCAGAGGAGAATGCATAAATTGGCACACTTGATTCACAGAATAGGCAATATCAGGCCGTGTAAAGGTTAAGTATTGAAGAGCTCGGACAATGCTCATGTAATGTGTTGGATCTGAATAACTAGGACTACCATGAGTCAGAAGTTTCTGATTAGGATGACAGGGTGTGATACATGGTTTACACTCGAGCATATTTGTCCTTTGCAATAGATCATGGACATATTTAGACGATGCACAAATAATCCAGGAGATTGATAGTCTATTTGCAAGCCAAGAAAATAGTGGAGAATCCCTAAATCCTTCATGTCAAACTCTGTGGTTAACTGAGAGATAACAGACTGAACACAAGCATCACTATCACCAGTAAGAATGATGTCATCCACATATAACAGTAACACAACTATGTTGGTACCATTATGTTGAACAAACATGGAAGGATCGGCATAAGAAGACTTAAAACCCAATGAAAGTAAGAAGGTGGTGAACCTGTCATTCCAAGCGCAGGGAGCTTGTTTGAGACCATAAAGTGACCGTTGTAATTTGCAAACATAGTCGGGATGAGCCTTGTTAACGAAACCCTGTGGCTGGGACATATAAACCTTTTCCTCAAGAAATCCATGTAAAAATGCATTCTTGACATCAAGTTGTTTCAGTTTCCATCCCTGAGCGGCTGCGAGAGAGAGAATGAGTCTCACAGTAGTTGGCTTCACCACTGGACTGAATGTTTCATAATAATCCAAACCAGCTTCTTGAGAAAAACCTTTGGCCACCAAACGAGCCTTATATCTGGCAACTGACCCATCGGGATGTCGTTTGACTTTGTATATCCATTTACAACCCACCAAATTTTTATTGGGTGGTAATGGAACAAGGTGCCAGGTATGTTGCTGTAGTAATGCATCCATTTCGTCCTGCATAGCAAGCTGCCACTGTGGAGACTTAGAAGCTGCAGAACAAGACGTTGGTTCTTTAACAGAATCAAGATGAATTGTAGTATGATAAACCTTCTTCTTCTTAGATATCCCAGATTTAGACCGTGTCTGCATAGAATGGAAATTATGAGAATGCAATGGAACAAGTTGTAACTCAGGAGCTTGAGAATTAGTAGGATCTGGATGGAAGTCCGAACCCATAGGAGTTTGAGAAGTAGTAGCATTTGGATGTAAGGATGAACCCATGGCAGAATCAGAGATTAACCCCATTGATGAATCTGAGACTGAACTAGAGATAGTCGGCGATGTGGAGACAAGATCACCTTGATGGAGAATATGGGACTGAGTAACTGGACTAGTAGTATGGGAAAATGCAGGAACAATGGCACGAGGTAAGAGAGTATGAGTTAAGGAAGGATGCTCAAATGAGTTTGAATGAGGGACAGAGAGTGGGACAACTGATGACAAAGATGAAGTAGACTGTAGATGGTGAAGGTTAGTGGAACCAGGAAACTGACTTTCATCAAACAAGACATGTCGAGACACAATTAACTTGTTATCTTTGACAGAGTAACAGATATAACCTTTATACTGAGATGCATACCCCAAAAAATACAAACAGTGGTTTTTAGATCAAGTTTGGTTGTTCTGTAGGGTTTCAAAGAGGGAAAACAAGTACAACAAAAAATGCATAAGTGAGCAAGTTGAGGAGGTGATTTATGCAAGACTTCAAAGGGAGATTTCATGAGTAAAATGGAGGTTGGCATCCTATTGATAAGATAGGTTGCAGTAGCATAGGCATGATACCAAAAAATAGAAGGTAATGAAGCTTGCTGCAAGAGAGTAATGCCAGTCTCAACAACATGCCTGTTTTTCCTCTCGGCTAACCCATTCTGCTCAGAGGTATAAGGACAAGACTTTTGATGAGTGATACCATTTTCCCGAAGAAAAGACTGAAAAGAAGCACCAATATATTCCCCACCCCCATCACTCTGAAGAGTTTTAATATGAGCATCAAAAGAATTCAATACAAAGGAATGAAATTGCACAAAATGACCAAAGACAACAGCTTTATTGATGATTGGAAAAATATATGTATACCTAGTACATTCGTCTATGAAAGAGACATAATATCTATACCCCTCAATGGACATACAAGGTGCAGGCCCCCATACATCGGAATGTATAACTGCAAAAGGAAGTACAGATTTTGAAGCAGGAGAAGGAAAATGAAGTTTAGTAAACTTTCCTTCCAAACAGAGAGTACAAGGCTGAGATTGTGCAGTACAATGGAAAGGAATGGCAGACTTACTAAGAGCTAGCTTAACTATGTGATTAGTAAGATGACCCATGCGACGGTACCACAATGAAGAAGACACCTTTTGACCAAGAAATGCTGCTGGTAAGACCTTTGATTTTGGAAGCACAGGAAGAGGATAAACGGCATGATTACTCAGTCCTTGGAACAATATTCTCTCAGTGATCTTGTCTTGTATACAGAGAGAAAACTCATCAATGATACATCGACAATTATTATCTTTGCATAATTGATGCATAGACAATAAGTGTTGGGACAAACGAGGAACATGCAATACAGATTGAAGTTTAAAAGTATGAGACTTGGTTGGAAGGTTAGATTTTCCAATATGAGCAATAATCAAACCTTCACCACTAGCACCGGTGACAGTATCCGTATGAGGATAAGGAGAGGCCATCTGAAGATTAGAAATATCAGAGGTCATGTGATGAGTAGCGCCGGAGTCAAGAAGCCAGAATTTTTGTTGGGGTGCAGATGGAGTGGGAGTAGCTTGAGCCGTCATAGCCACAGGAGAATGAGAAGAACCACTCATGCCAGATGACTGACCATTGAAATGCATGCCAGATGACTGACCATTGAAATTCATAGACTGGTATGAGGCTGGAGGCTGTTGAGAATGGAACTGTGGAAAAGGTGGTTGATAATACTGTTGTGATGACTGATATCCCGGAGCTGAAGAATTATTTCTGTCAAAACAAGTTGCAGCCGTATGCCCCACTCTATGGCAAATCTGACAACCATGTTGAAAACAATTGATAGCAGAGTGACCATTTTTATCACAAATTTGACATTTCTGCATTGGTTGATAACTCTGTGGAGAGAGCATTTGGTGTTGTGGTCCTGATGCTGAATGCGATTGAGACTGAGGTGAATACTGATTTCCACCAAATGAGAACTGTTGTGGAAAATGTCCTTGATTACCCTGAAAAAACTTCTTGCCTTTTCCTTTGTGTTTGAAATTATTTCCTCTGAAATTATTGTATGTACCTGAACCACTTTGAGAGACAAAAGCCAAGGGTCCAGGAAAAGGAAGTTGTTGAAACTGAGGATAGGGTAATTGTTGCTGTGAAAAGGGTTGTGAGAAAGGAATAGGTAAGAATTGAGGAGGTTGTTGAAGGGGCACATAGGAATATGGTGACTGAGGGCTAAAAGGAGGGCCAAAATAGCTGCCAGATGAACCTTCCTTAGTACCAGATATACCTCCAGTGTCATATGCAGATGGAGAATTATGAGCTAACATAGCAGACATGAAAGGAACTTGCTTAGTGACTTCATTCAACGTATCTTCTTCAGCTTTCAATTGAGACCGCAGTTCTTTTAGAGATACCAATGTTTCTCGTCCACGAATGACAGACTTAATAGTGTTATACTCATGAGGTAAACCCCGTAATGCAACAATAGCAATGTCCTCATCAGAAATAATAACCCCAACAGCAGCTAAATGATCCCTAGCATCTTTAATCCTCTGAAGATATGCATCAATGGATTCAGGACCTTTCCTAATATTCTGAAGATCAATCTTCATTTGAACAATACTTGTCCGACTCATATTTGCAAATCTTTCTCGAAGACTAGTCCACATTTCCTTAGAACTCTTACACCCAATAACACATGATAAAGCAGCAGTCGACATGGTAGTAGTAATAAGCGTCATTAATGCCTTATCATGTATCTTCCAAACATCATAAGCATCAGAATTCAACTCAGTCTTATCAGGACATAAAACAGATCCATCAAGAAAACCAAAAATGCCATTTCCATCAAGCAATAACTCCATTTGGAAATTCCAAGTCACATAGTTAGAATCATCAAGTTTGACAGTGACAGTATTACCCACAGTGAGAATGAGAGACGAAATTGGGGATTGAGTAAGAGCCAATTGAGCAGATGTAACCATTGTTTAACCAGAAACACCACAAAGCAAGCAACGCAAATATACAGAATGCACACCCAGAAGCAATCCACAAATGACGCTACAATCTGACAAGAGATGAACAACTTCGCAGAAACCAAATTTCCACAATCTAGGGTTTCAGACAATACTTGATCAAGACATCAAGATCGCAATAACAATGTAGTAGATATGAGAAGAAACAAGATCACCTTCCTGAAGCACAAAGATGAAAGAATGCAGCCGAAACACCAGCGATGAATCGAAGAACTCCAAAAGATAGAGTTCGCGATGAATACCGACAATCAATCGCACCAGCAACCTTCAACAACCGACACAAACGACGAGCAGCAACACCAATCAACGACGAACGACGAACGACGAGAACAACAAAACAATGCGGAAGCAGAGGATCGTCAATCAATGGTGTTACCCTTGATCGGCGATGATACCATGTTAACAATAGCTATGGAAGCTGAAAGATCAGGAACGACTAGAGAGAGAAAGAGAGAAAGCTCAAATAGAGAGGGAAACTGTAACTGATTTATTATTTCAGTTGCTACCTTATTACAAGAGATATTTCACTATAAATACATGTTGACCTATCTATCTCAACTCATATAATCCAATG